CTTGCATCTTTCAAGTCTGATGGTGGCACTGATCTTTGGAATCCCTCCAGAAATGTGGTACTGCTTTTGGTTTACTGTTTTCCTAGGCAATGGCAGTTCTAATGGTGTCCACTTGGCCTTTCCTACCATGATAGCCCTTATTCCATATTTCAGGTATCCAATATGGGGTTTCTGCCAGTTACTAAGTATATCTATTCCAATGATGCATTCTGGAACTGGAGAAATAACCACAGGATGGGTCTGGGGGCCCACTGGACCCACAGTGAGGCATACCTGAGCTAAAACCCCATTGATAACTTGACCTCCATAAGTCCCCACTCTGACTGATGGGCCTTTGAAACACTTTGGGTCTCCTGGAATTAGTGTCAGTTCTGAGCCAGTGTCCAGTAATCCCCCAAAAGTTTGATTATTTCCTTTTCCCCGGTGAACAGTCACTCTTGTGAAAAGTGGTAGGTCCCTTTGGGGAAGGCTAGAAGAAATACTAACAGTATAGACCTTCGCTGATGTAGCAGGGTCCTCCTTCAAAGGGACCTGGCGTTCCCCTCATTCAAGGGTTTGTGGGTCTTTAAACTGGCTCAGGTCTGGGAATTGATTGAGTGATCATGACTGTCTATTCTGCTGTTCACCTGATCTAGCATTCTTCTGCCTGTATAGATGATGTAAATATCTAGTAGGTTTCCCATCTATTTCATTCCTAGGGCTAAGTAGCCAATGCCATAATTCCACATGAGATGGGTTGCTCTGATTACTACAGAAAACTTGTTGTCTATTATAACCATGACCACCCTCTCTCTGTTGATTCAGTGCTGACACCTGCCCTTGACCACCACCGGGACCAATCAGCCCCATTGTGGGCAAAGATCGGAGGTCGCTTAGGGCAGTTCCCACTGTTAATCTTGGTGCACATAAAATCGTAATTACAGGAGTCTTAAGAGATGCTGGGGCCCACTTCACAAACTGGTTCCTTATGGTTGTGAAAAAGGGTATGTCCTCAGGCCCCCCCCTTTTTGGGTCTATGGGAATATCCTGATAGCGCCATTCCAACATACCAATTTCCCGAAGCTTTTGAATGCCTTCCTCTACAGTGTAACAAGGTAGGTCAGGTACTTCAAGCTGGTCTAATCTAGGCCCTCTGGCAGTCCATGCTTCAGCAAACCAACCAAATAAAGAATTAGATCCTCTCTTAGCCTCTCTCACAGAGACATTGAAAGAAGAATTTGTGCTTAGTGGTCCCATATCCAGAAACCCAGACCAGTCCAATATTATATTTTGTGTCCCATTATCGCACACCCTTAGTAACCATTCCCAGGGATATTCCCCAGGCTTCTGCTTGTAAGTATTGAAAACTTGAGCAGATCTTTGTGAATATAGAGCGGTTCTTCTTGGGTAATCATCTCAACCTCACATTTAGGAGCTTTCTGAGACTTAATTTTAGTGACAGATCTAGTGGAAATAATGGATGGTGAGGGTGTTTCCTGGTGGCTGTCAGCAATATCTTGTAGGGCATCTCCCTCAGGCAATGCCACAGATGCAGCCCCACCTGGCATTTCAGCTCGAACAGTTTGGCTAATCAGCTCAGGTATGGATAGTTTTATTGATAGTGAATAAATACCTTCAGCTGTGGGGGTGGATCTATTGACTGGGGCGGGTCAATTGTTTCTAGGGGCTCAATATCCTCCTCTTCTGGATCATCAGCCCATATGTTCCCAACCCATGTTTCAGGGTCCTAACTTTTTCCTATTAATGCCCTCACTTTGGTATCAGACACTGCTCTAGATCTGCAATTCAGCTGACGTTGTAATTCAGCCACTCGTATAATAAGACTCTGGACCTGGTCTCAGCAATGTCAGCTCTATTACTAGAGGCACGCTTCTGAGGCTCTGAGACCATCCCTCTCTTTAATCACACTTTCCATGGTAAGAAGGACCAGCCAACCAGCTTCCCTATACTTGTCATCCTGACAACTCCTGGAAAATATCAGAGATACAATGACTCAGAACCTCTCCTTTAGCCAGCACCTCATCTATCAGTGGTGATACTGTACATATTAGCTTTGCTTTTTCACACCATGGATTAGTAAGAGTGGCAGACTTATCCATTCATTTGGGCATGGAAATAGCATTATTAATGCTGTTAAGACTAATCAGGCTGGAGAGCCAATTTAAGAAGCCCATACTTATGATTTTCTTTCTCTGGAAGCACTCCTGGTACCAAATATGTTAGACAGGGTTATGTAAAGAAACAAAACCAGAATGCTAATAATTTTATATATATTTATACAGATAGATAGATCTCTAACATAAGAATAAGCAGTTAATTAAATTATAAAGCAGTACAAATGACTCAGTGTAACTCATTCCCCTGAGACACTGGCAGTTCTTCAAGTCTTGAGGGCTGCCAGGTAGTCCTCTGTAGAGCAATTCAGGCTATCTGGGTACAGGCAGCAAACAGCAAGGCAGGTTACCAACAGTCAGCCAGGTGACAGTGTCCGGCAGTCCCAAGCTCAAGAGATGCAAATTCCAATTGTGTGGCAAAGCAGGTCTTGAAGGAACCTCAAATTATAGCGACATAGTCCACAGGTTAGGTGTCCCACAGGTAGTGTAGCTCGCAAACGGACACACAGAACAAACAAGGCAGCCGCACACTGGTCCGATGATCAATGAGCAAGAGACAAGAGAAGCAAGGCTCGCTGAGCCATTTATCTCTCCGCCCTTCAATTAATCCCACATGTGTTCATTGACCAGGTGGGCACAATAAATGTTAACCATCTCAATAGTGTATTTTAGTAACAGTAACTTTTAGAAAAATAAGACAAAAATTCTTGTAGGATATGAAATATTTATACTAATCACTAATGAACTTTACTTAATTGAAATTTATAAAAAAAATAACACCAAAAAACCTTCAAAAGGCATGATGAATTATCACTACTAATGACCTTATGTTGAGTCATAAAACAAAGCTCAATAAATATTGAAGATAGCAATCATTAAGAGTATGTTCTACAATTAAAAAGTATGTTCTCTGACAAAATAGCATTAAATTAGATGTCAATAAGAATAAAAATAGGAATGCAGCCCAATCTATTTTGGTAATTAACACGTTACTAAACAGTGCATAAATTAGTTAATTTAGTAGTCCTGGTGGTATAATGGTTAAATGTTACTTAATAACTGAAAAGAGCGATTTGAAACCACCAGCTACTCTAAGGGAGAAAGATGAGACTTCCTACTCCCTTAAAGAGTTAAGGGCAGTTCGACCCTGTTTTATGGGGTCATTATGAGTTGGAACTGACTCAATGGAAGTGAGAGAAAGGTTAATTCAGAAATGATTGCAAAATGAATAAAGGTAACAAAAAATGTCAAAATTAGGAACATGCAGTGAAAGCAGTGATTTCGTGGAAATGCATAGCTTTACATACTTATCTGAGAAAAGAAGTAAATCCTAAAAAAAAAATTAAACATATTTAAAAAAATAGAGAATATGTAAATGATCTCTGAAAAAACAAAAGCAGAAGTCAGTAAAACACAAAATATAAGAACTAACAAAAAATGAACATAAAAGTTGACTCTGAGAATTTTAATTAAATTAATAAACTCTCAGCAGACTAATTAAAGAAAAAATATAAAGAATGTCAAGACAAAGTGCTTATCTCAGGAATAATAGAGAAGATATTTTAAAATATAAAATAGTATATTAAAAGGGCAAAAAGAAAATATTAAAATATCTTATACCAAAATATCAGGTAACATAAATGAAATGTAGAGAATATTTGAAGAAGAAAAATTATCAAAAAAGATATTCTAAAAATACAGGATATTTGATAGGCCATATCTGCTTGAGAAATGAAAGTTACAGAAGAAAACTTTCAAAAGGAAAATGCTAGACCATAACTATCACGGAGGTAGTTGACCAATTTCCTATTTAAGTTGGATATAATACTAATGTTACCCAAACTTTTTCCAAAATGAAGAAGTACAGGAAACCACACAACTCATGTTATGAGAATAGCGTAATCATCATAATAAAACCTGGAAATGTCATTAAAAGACAGATCAATCTTAAATAGAAATGAAAACAGTAACAATTTAAATTTAATACATAAAGAGAAAAATAAAATACTATATTAATTTTATTTACTCTCAGGAATGAAAGATAGTTCTGACTTATTTTACTACACTGACAGAATAGACTCACAATCATTGTGATAGATACATGAAATATATAATGAATAATGAACACACATTCAGTTCAAGTAAAAACTGACAGCATGATAACATTTTAAATCAGACAAATTGTTAAAAAATACCAGGGCCTTAGGGAATTATAGTTGGGAAACTGGGACTTAGATTAAACATTTCGAACATTAATGGGCTTACAAATTTTCTGGGAATGTGGATAAAATGCAGATTTGGGTACAGTAGATCTGATGTGCAGTACACGGATATGCATTTAAAATAAATTAAAAGATGATGCTATTTGCCCATTCATCACATTTCAAGGAAGAAGAGTCTAGCATATGAGAATTTTGCTTGAGCTAATTAAGACAGCAATAGTGAATACTAAAGATCATTCTCAAAACATAAGGCCACTTGAATAGGAAATTGTCAGACTACCTCTTTTAGAATCATGGTTGATTGGCCAGTGGAGACATTGCCATCTTAGTGACCATATTTCTTCTGAGGACATTCTTCAAGGCCTGCTTTACATCTTTGTTCCGAAGACTGTAGATCAACGGATTAAGGACTGGACTTACAAAGGTGTAGAAGACAGCTATTACTTTAGATTCCTCAACAGTCTCATCTGTTGGTGGTCTCATAGTTGCCCAAAAAAGAGTCCCGTAAAATAGGGTGACAGCCATTATATGGGAGCCACAGGTGGAGAATGCCTTGTGTCTGCCCTCTGCTGACTTGATCCGGAGGATGGCAGCGATAATGAAGGCATAGGACACCAGGATGATGGTGAGGGAGCTGGAGAGGTTGAAGCCAGCTGAGATCAGCATGGCATGTTCTTTGATGTAAGTATCAGAGCAAGAGAGCTTTATGAGTGGTGGGTCAGCACAGTAGAAATGGTTAATGATATTGGACCTACAGAAGGTCAAGCGAAAGGTTAGAATGGCCTGTAACAGACCATCTGAGAAGCCATAAACATAAGGGAAAGTGGCCAAACAGATGCAGACTTTCCTGGACATTTTCACAGTATAGTGCAGAGGGTTGCAGATGGCCATGTAGCGGTCATAGGCCATTGCTGCCAGCATGTAAAATTCAGTGAGGAGAAGAGCAATGAAAATGTAACACTGTGTGAAGCAGCCAGCAAAGGAAATGGTCTTCACTGATAAGCAATTCACAAGCATCTGTGGGGTTGCATTTGTAATGTAGCACAAGTCCACAAAAGCCAAGTTAGTGAGAAAGAAGTACATTGGGGTGTGTAGGCGAGTGTTCAGTCTGATTAGCATGATCATGCCCAGGTTGCCTATGAGGGTGACAAGATAAACCACCAGGAACAGCACAAAGAGGAGAGGCTGGAGTTCTGGGAGATCTGTGAGTCCCTGCAGAATGAATTCTGTGATCACACTGCCATTCTTAGTGAACATTTCCTGAGAATATGTACCTGCTCCTAAATCAATAAAAATTACTGTCAGGAAAGAATAGATTTTGTAAATTAAATAATTTCTCTATACCTCCTTTGATTGTCAAAATGTATCTTTAATTGTTATTATGTGACTATAAAACAATTTCTTACCTGTAGTAAGTCATTATTTAAATTTTCTTTTAAGTAGGACACCTAATAACTGTTGAGCTTCAGACCATTAACTGCAAGTTCATCTATTCAAACGTGCCAGCCACTCCAAGCAGAAAGAAGAGGCTCTCTGCTCCAGCAGAGAATGATATCCTCACAAACCCTTTATGAGCCAGAATCAATGTGATAGAAGTTTTTATATTAAAGTGCTGCTATATATTCATGTTACATAAACCCACAGGGGAAAGTCTACTCAGTACTATAGGGTCACTGTGAGTTGGAATCAACCAAATGTTAATGAGTGAGTGATGAGTTTTAGAGCAGAGACCCAAAGTCCATCTGCAGACAATGGGACATCCCCTCACAGGGGGTTCTCAGGGAAAGGATGAGTCAGTCAGGGTGCAGTAGAGCACCAATGGATCAGGCAATATAACTGCGGTTCCTCCCATTATCATGACCCCAGTGCGGCTTTTCCCACACTGGCCTGCACCAGAACATGTACATAGGCAAGAGATAAAGCTCAGGACACACAGAACCCAGGAACAGGAATGGGAGTAGTGATACCAAAAGTGTAGGGGGAAGAGGGGAAGATGAGGGGAAGGAAGGGGGACCAATCACAATGAATGGCACATAACCACACACGTCCCTATAGGGGGAAGAAGAACAGAAACCAGAGGGGAAGGGAGACAGCAGTCGGTGTGAGATATGAAAATAATAACAATCTATAATCTATCAATGGGCCATGTGGGTGGGAGGGGAGGGTGAGGGAAAAAAAGAGGAGCTGATCCCAAGGGCTCAATAGAAAGTAAATGTCTAGAAAAGAACGATGGTAATATAAGTACAAATATGTCTAATACAATTGAAAAATGGATTATAACAAGAGTTAAGAGCCCCCAATAAAATGATGTTTAAAAAATAAAATAAAAATAAAAGTAACTGTGTTCCTGTGTTTATATGTGGGAATAACAGTTATCTTCTTAATTTTTGTAAGTTGTAATGGGCTTCAGCTGGACATTCTTAAAATAAATATCTATTGCTTATTTACTATGCCGCACAGTTTGTCAAAAGAATTGTAGTTATTGAAATGAAAATAATCCTTAAAATTATATTTCTCTCCTGATCTTTCATTCAATAAGTAAGAAAGAAGTACTTTGATGATGGAATATGTTTCTAATATTTTTTATAAAAGCTGGACAAAAATAAAGCAGCATTTTGGAGATGAGAAGGTGTTGAAATTCCAGATGGAACATCACAAAAGAAACTGACACAAAAGGTGATTTTTAAAAGCAACAATGATACGAAGAAGGAACCAAGTAATTACAATATTTCGGGAAGGGTATATTGGGAGAATAAAACACAGGTGAAAAGATTCCATGTGTGCTCATTCTTGGGAAACTCTTGGTGATGGGTTTTTGTACATGTGTCTGCGTGTGTGTGCTTCCTCAGAGTTTTGTGCACAGAGGAGAATTACCTCAAGCAAACAAAGTTCTAGATGGGATTTGCACATATGCCTAGCTGTGTCAATAGCTAGATCTCTGGGTGATGCTGAGTAATCTGAGTTCAGAACCAACCATTGTGAAATAAATTAACCAACTTTAATTATACTCAGTGGCTCCTGATCTAATATCCAGAAAGCTGGAAAAGTCCTTAACTTTAGTATTTGGAAAATCAGACTTATATGAATCAGATTTCAACCCATGATTCTAATTCTGTTTCTACCATTTCTGAATAGTATGTATTGGCAAGGTACTTCACCTGTATCACTGCTGTTTTCTCAGCTCTAAAAAAAAAAGGAAAATGGTTTTGAAATAGTTAATCAAGTAGGGCTAATAATTGATGTATTACATAAAGTAATTGAAGATAGACTTAATTAACACCTTCACAGACGGCTCGCTCTACTGCCTATAGTTCTTTGCCAACAAACACCAAGGGAAACCCATCTTTTGCGGAGAAAAAACAAACAAGTCCCCACTGACTTGCAGAATCAAAGAGAATCTGATTTTTAAGGAGGAAAATGCAGATGATTTGTGGGCATCGGAAGAAACCTTTACCACAATTACCTCTTGACAAAAAATGTAAAAGAAATCAAGATGCAAAGACTTACTTCTGATTCTAATTTTCTCACCCTCTCATTAAGGATATTTCTTGATGCCTGCTGCTGCTGAAAAATGAAGTTATATTTATAGTAGCTTGAGGGAGGAGAGACTTGCTCACTATCGCAAATCTCAGAAGAATGGAAGAGCATCACCTCTCTTGGGTTTAAGTGGAACTCTGGGAACCAGATGATAATAATACAGCTTAGTCTCATTTCTTATCAATTCAAAGTCACCAATGTTTAGCCTATTTATTTTAAGAGCTCAGTGGCAGATATGAAAAGCAGCTCATCTTCAGATTTGACAGTAGTCTTCATCTAAAATTTCTTTTTCATGATTATTTCATTACTTAGGATTTAATACATATATCATATTATTCCATAGTTCAATCCTGTTCAGCAGTATAGTACATTTGTTACCACAATCAATTTCCAAACATTCCTTTTCTACATGGACTCCTTGATATTATCTCCCCTTCAGCCCCCCACCACCACTCTACACCCCACCCCCAAAATTTTTTTATTCTACTTGTTGTCTCTCTATAGGTTCATCAATCCTGGGTTTCTTATAGCAAAACCTGAAAAAAATATATAACACAACTTCAAGAGGGTGATCCCAATGACATTAACACCTCTGAGATACACACTAATAAGAACAAACAAAAAACAACCAAAACAATACAAACCAAAAATACAGAAAATGTTGGAAACCAGAGCAGGTCCAACATGCATGCTAGAAAGGATCTTCTGAGAAAGTTTTAACTGTTCAAGTCAGATTTTTGCCTCTGATCTTCTATACCCAACTCTCTAATGTGCTGTTTAGTAACCACTTCCCTCCTATTCCTCAATTGTGGATAAAGGGAGTTCACCAGAGGCTTATTTCTTATGTAGTTCCACAAATGAATCCTTGGTTCCCACTGTCATCCATAGCCTTCTGCAAACCAGATTCTCATACTTAAATAGTAGAATTATCTCCTTTCCTAAAATTCAGATAATTCAGATATATCATGTATCTGTGTCCAATATATCTCCGTCATTTAACAGATGATTCCTGATGGATAATGTTCCTTATGGAACTTTAAAAATTCTTGTTCTTCAAGCTAAAACTTAGCGGGTGTAATATAATATGGGACTCAAAAAAATAATTAAACAACTATTTGTTTCTCTGTTCCATAAATGCCTTAGAATCGGGCCTCAGATACAGGCAGCACAAGGTTTATCAAAATAAAGGGGCAATTGTAAAATGTGACCCACAAGTGGAGACAGTTTGCCTCTCCCTTCAGCAGAGTGGGTTCTAAGGAAAAAGAGAAAGATGAAAAAAATAGGAAATGTGGATAATAATGAGCAAAAGCTGATGTTGGAACCAGTCACTACAAATTCATATTTTAACTTTTGATCAACCACCAAAAAAAAGAAAAGGTGTGTCAATAAAAGATGAGTCCAGAATATTAATTTTTTTATTACTTTAAAAATTAGGAAAAGTGTGATAGAGGAAAAGAAGAACAGGAAGAAAAAGTAGTTGAAATAGAAAATAAATACAAAATTACTAATCAACCATTTGAAGTCTAGGGCAGTTTACAGGAAGACGGATGGGCTAGGAAAAGGATGAAAAGAAACAGGAAGCACCAGGAAGAAATGGGATAAGTGAGAGGGTTGGCGTGAATGAGATGAAACTAAGTATGTATGAATTAGAACATGGTGTGCCCCTTGAAGACCCAGGAGTCAGTATCCCAGCATTTTTCTGGTTTTCAGTAAATGAAAACCAGGAATGATGAACCTATAGGGATACAAAGTACAAAAAGGATTTTGAGGTGGGGATGGGGAAGGAGGCATAGGGGAGGGGTCAGTAAGAGGGGGACGATACCAAGGAACCCAGGAAGAAGTTATATGTTGGGGAAATGATTATGGAAGCCATTGTACAATTCTGCTTGATGTGATTGAATGCTGCGATGACATGACACTCATGTTAATGCTGAAGTAATAATAAATTTAAAGAACAACAACATAAAACAAACAAACATAGATGCAGGAATTGTTGTTGGGCTTACACTAAATCCCAGTCGAATTTAAGAACAATTAGTTCTTACATTATGGCCCTGCTTGATACACACCCTCAGGAAGGGAATACAGAAGATATGGGTGCTATAGCAAAATGTGGTGAAGAAATTAGATGCTGCCTGCCTATTAGATAAAATAAAAAGTGTCTGGGGTCTTAAAAGCTTGTCCCCTAACAAGCAGCCATCTAAGTGCGATGTCAACTAAGTCCACGTGGAAGAAGCACACCACCATCAGTCACTGAAGGATTGTGAAGCATAGAACCCAAAGTCAAAGGAGGGATTAGTATCAGAGCCTAAAGTGTAATAATCTGGTTTACAGAAGGCTACAGATGACAATGGGAGCCCAAGATCCATTTGTGGAACTACACATGAAATAAGCCTGCAGTGATCTCCCTCTATCCAAACTCGAGGGATCCGAGGAAAGTGATTACTAAACAGACCGCATTAGAGAGTTGAGTATAGAAGATCAAAGGCATAACTCTACATGAACAGTTAAAACTTTGTCGGCAGATCCCCTAGTATTCTGAACCTTGATCTAGTTTCCATAAGTTTCTGTATTTTGGTTTGTATTGTTTCATTTTGTTTTTGTTTGTTCATATTAGGGTGTAGCTCAGAAGTGTTTTGCTGTTGGGGTCACCCTTTTGAAGTTTTGTTGTATGTTGTGCTGTTTTTAGGTATATGACATCCAGGATTGATGAACATATA